CTCTCTCTCTCTCTCTCTCTCTCTCTCTCTCTCTCTCTCTCTCTCTCTCTCTCTCTCTCTCTCTCTCTCTCTCTCTCTCTGTGTGTGTGTCTCTGGCCGAGTCTGGTGTGCACACACACACACATGCAAGTGCTAGCTGCCACACTTGCATTCTCCCACACACGCATGGATGCATGTGCTTTTCTCACCACCCCTATTGCTCTCTCTTCCCCTCCTCTCTTTTTTATGTGTAAAACAGAATGAGGCATAGAGAGGAAAGGTCCTGGAATTGTGTTTGCTGCCATACTCATGCTGTGTAAGGCCTCATAGGCAAGAGGAAATGTGCATTTTACACAAGGACTGCTTTCTGCAGTTCTCCTCTATAACATAATCAAATGGTTTGTCATCGCATATGCAGCAATGGAAGGAAGTGACGGCCATACCAGGCAGCGCACCTGGTCAGGCTGAGAGGGGGCTGGGAGGGGGCTGGGAAGGGGCTGGGAAGGGGGGGAAGAAACAATGTTACTATAGTAGAAATTACTAGAAAATGGAAGTGCTTTTGGGCAAAAAATGCGATGTAGGACTTGATTTCTCTATCAGAAAGAGGGGACAAGGATCTTGGTACTACTATGGAGTCTGAACGGATTGTGGAGCTAAGTCCCACTAGCGGGGGCTTAGACTTGGTTTCAAGTCTGCATCGGTTCCTGCCATTCGATCTGGGAATCTGACGGCCGCAGTGTGGCCACATTGAGAAATTATTCAAACCAAGTCTAAATCTCCACTAGTGGGACTTAGCCCCAGATCCATACCTACTGTGGAAGCTCCCGGGGAACCCGCACGCAATTTAAGACCCGTGTGTGTGACCGGGCAATGGAGGAGTGGGGGTTACATGCTGATTGGAGAGAAGTGTGCTAGAATTTCGGTGTCCCTGTGGTGTTGTCTGTGGTGTGTGTGAGTTGGACACTACAGCCTTGCACGCGTGAGGTGGATATCACAACCACTTTAATTCATAGTATTGAATGGAATCCAGGCCAAGGTGCCAAATTCGTTTGGGCTGCAGCGACTTTTGCTCGGTCGGGTTCCACTTTTAAAACACCGCGTCCTGCCATAGTGGTGAAACCACCAGTACCTTTCCCAGCTATTTTTTCAGAGGCGCGCCGGGTAATGCGCTGGCCTGAAACGGACGGGCGGCCGCCGATAAACCGAATCGGCGGCCAGTCTTGATTTTTTGGGCCGGCACGCAGTGCCCACGGCCAACATAATATGGGAAAGGTACTGGTGGCTCTTGTGGCCAGATCGACTACCTCATCCATGGGCGCTGGTTGGAACCTGTGCCTGCACGCCGTACACGGAGGAGGTCTGTAGC